TGAAGGTATTTGGGTTAAATTATAATTTTACAATCATCGGTTTCATATTATTGTCGTTTTTTCTTGGATTGAACCAAAGATAAAGAAGGCTGAGTATTTTTGACTGGTTCACATAAAAACAGACAGATACCATATTGATTCCAGCAGCAAAAATACATCCATCCTAAAAAAACAACATCAATCTTTTCATCAAGTGACTAACAACTGTAACAAGTGCAACAACACTTCAGGTCACAGCAGATGAGGTGCTGTAGCTGACGGAGGAGCAGGTTTTTCACTAGTTATAACTTAAAATGAGGCCATGACAGCACTTTAAAATTAGGCAATGGCAGCCCTTTAAAATGAGGCCATAGCAGCACTTTAAAATGAGGATATCACAACACTTTAAAATGATTCCTTGACAGCACTTTAAAATGAGGCCATGGCAGCACTTTAAAATGAGGCAATGACGGCACTTTAAAATGAGGCCATGGCAGCACTTTAAGGCCATGGCAGCACTTTAAAATGAGGCCATGGCAGCACTTTAAAATGAGGCCATGGCAGCACTTTAAAATGAGGCCATGGCAGCACTTTAAAATGAGGCCATCACAATACTTTAAAATGAGGCCATGGCAGCACTTTAAAATGAGGCCATCACAACACTTGAAAATGAGGCCTTGAGAGCACTTTAAAATGAGACCTTGACAGAACTTTAAAATGAGGCCATGACAGCACTTTAAAATGAGGTCATGACAGCACTTTAAAATGAGGCCATGACAGCACTTTAAAATGAGGCCATGGCAGCACTTTAAAATGAGGCCATGACAGCACTTTAAAATGAGGCCATGACAGCACTTTAAAATGAGGCCATGGCAGCACTTTAAAATGAGGCCATGACAGCACTTTAAAATGAGGCCATGACAGCACTTTAAAATTAGGCCATGACAGCACTTTAAAATGAGTTCATGACAGCACTTTAAAATGAGTTCATGACAGCACTTTAAATGAGGCCATGACAGCACTTTAAAATTAGGCCATGACAGCACTTTAAATGAGTTCATGACAGCACTTTAAAATGAGGCCATGGCAGCGCTTTAAAATGAGGCCATGGCAGCACTTTAAAATGAGGCAATGACGGCACTTTAAAATGAGGCCATGACAGCACTTTAAAATGAGGCCATCACAACACTTTAAAATGAGGCCTTGACAGCACTTTAAAATGAGACCTTGACAGAACTTTAAAATGAGGCCATGACAGCACTTTAAAATGAGGCCATGACAGCACTTTAAAATGAGGCCATGACAGCACTTTAAAATGAGGCCATGGCAGCACTTTAAAATGAGGCCATGACAGCACTTTAAAATGAGGCCATGGCAGCACTTTAAAATGAGGCCATGACAGCACTTTAAAATTAGGCCATGACAGCACTTTAAATGAGTTCATGACAGCACTTTAAATGAGGCCATGACAGCACTTTAAAACTAGGCCATGACAGCACTTTAAATGAGTTCATGACAGCACTTTAAAATGAGGCCATGGCAGCGCTTTAAAATGAGGCCATGGCAGCACTTTAAAATGAGGCAATGACGGCACTTTAAAATGAGGCCATGACAGCACTTTAAAATGAGGCCATCACAACACTTTAAAATGAGGCCTTGACAGCACTTTAAAATGAGACCTTGACAGAACTTTAAAATGAGGCCATGACAGCACTTTAAAATGAGGCCATGACAGCACTTTAAAATGAGGCCATGACAGCACTTTAAAATGAGGCCATGGCAGCACTTTAAAATGAGGCCATGACAGCACTTTAAAATCAGGCCATGACAGCACTTTAAAATGAGGCCATGACAGCACTTTAAAATTAGGCCATGACAGCACTTTAGATGAGTTCATGACAGCACTTTAAAATTAGGCCATGACAGCACTTTAAAATTAGGCCATGACAGCACTTTAGATGAGTTCATGACAGCACTTTAAAATTAGGCCATGACAGCACTTTGAATGAGGCCATGACAGCACTTTAAATGAGGCCTTGGCAGCAGTCCTGAGCTGAAGATTTGTGGTTCGAATCCTGCTCCCAACATAAACACGGGTTGAGCGGTCAGATGGACTTGACCCACAGTTGCAGGTGTAAAACCAGCTCCCATTGGTGATGGCTGCTGTATGTCCTTGGGCAAGACACTTTTCTTGGCTCACCCCCAGTGTGTGTGTTCACCGGTGTATGCGTGAGTGTGAGTGGGGGCGTGGTTTGAGAGGTAGAAAAGTGTAAACGTATTGAGGAACGTACTGAGAAAGTATGCGAGGGTCGTGACACAGACAGAAGACTTTTGTTGATCAGAAGTTCAAAGATTTTCAGCCTGTATGTGACTTTAAACCAGGGAGGAATCGCCCACGGCACCAGTAGCTCCGGCCTTCGAACCGAAACATCAAGTGGAAAATCCCCAGCTCCAGGCCAAATGAAGACTTCAGCTTTAATCACAGTTGCTTCAAATGTGTCATTTAAGAACCATACACTGAAAAAACTAAAATGTATTTACTAACGATAACATGGATTATGCTTATACTTTTTTCATTAATGTAGTTTGTCATTTTTTGTCATGTAGTTTGTGTAACTTTATTTTACTAGTTTTAAGATATTAATACTTCATAATCTTATTAGAGAAAAAAGTCTGAGCAGTGAGTTTGTAAGCTTGTTGTAAGTACTTTTTCTTGTTTAGATAAGATAAGTATATTATGCCATATTTTAAGACAACAATTCTCAAAAGGGTTTCATAAAAAAAGTAAATAATACTTGTAATGGTTTTGAACTAAAATCTAATCATTTAAACACTAGTATGATTTTCTTATTTTCAGAAATCTTGTTAAGTCATATAATTATTCTTATTTTAACCAGTATTTTAATAAATGTCATATATATATATATATATATATATATATATATATATATATATATATATATATATAAGGGCGGCAGTAGCTCAGTTGGTAGAGCGTTGGCCTTTGAGCCAGAAGGTCGTGGGTTCAAGCCCCGCTCAAGACTTTCACCATCGACTCCCACTGAGTCTGTCGTTGTGTCCTTGGCAAGACACTTAACCTCTGGGAACACCAGCCACAGTGGGGCGGCTGCGGCTGTAAAGTGCCAAACTGCTGTTGTGTCCTTAGGCAAGACACTTCACCCCCATTGCCTAGAATGAGTCTGGTGTGTGTGTGAATGGTTGGTGGTGGTCAGAGGGGCCGATGGTACATACTGGTTGCCTCGCTTCTGTCAGTGTGCCCCAGAGCAGCTGTGGCTACATTAGTAGTTTATCACCACCGTGTATGGAGTGAATGAATAATGACACATGTGAAGCGTCTTTGAGTGTCCAGAAAAGCGCTATATAAAACCGATGCATTATTATTATTATTATATATTTTGTTCTTATTTTTTTCAAGGGATTTTTTCCAGTGTATCATCAGCGAAGAACCGGAGATAAACAAATTCCCACACACATGTTTATTTGATCTTAGTGGCCGACTGCGATCCGCATTTCTTATCATATCAAAGTCACCGTTACATTTCACATAATGTACAATAGACTGTATGTACATCTGGCCTCTAACAAATGAGGAAATTGAAACAGCAAACACAAACATTCAAAAATAAATTTACAGTGGTTTCGCGTTTAAACAATCTTATATAAAAAAACATCTCTTCATCTCTTCGTTCACGTGTAAACAGTTTCAGGTAAACAGTGGTTACAGACACTCAGCACAACGTTCACATTAAAAACATAGAAGCAAATGTTTTAAAGGAGACATATTATGCTTTTTCCTTCCTCAGTCACGGCCCTGGAGACGCACACATGTAGCCCCGCCCCTTTAGTCTGAAAACTCCGTCTCAGTCCTGCGATAGTGTGATGTCGTTGTACCACTATGACGTCACACTCAGAGCAGTTTTTTGAGGTTCACAACAAAAGACTTGGCCTTACATTAGTTTTGGCAATTTCCCAAAAGACGCATGGTCATTTTCAAAATTGGAAAAAATCTACAAAATGTAAGAAAGGCTTCAATCTGTTGTTTTGCAGCAATATATAAGATTTTCATGTCAAGTCATCATTAAAGGGCCCTAATCTGTAAAAAAGGCGTTAATAAAACCTGCTCTTTTCCAATACTTCTTTAACTGAAAACAGTCGTTCAGAGATATTTGAATTTCACAATTTGATTTACAACCCCTAACTCTTGTTATCGTTTTCATTTTGATGTCCCGCCCTCCACCGTTTTACCAATAAGAAGGTCTGTGATCCGGGTTGCCAGAACTCACCGCTTCGAGCTATTCTCACAAGTTACATGTGGCGCAGAACAAAAAAAGGTCTCGTTCATGACAAAACAAGAAATAAACAGGGCCTTTGTGAAAAAGGTGCTGGTTAAGGATTTGTTGTTGACAAAACTCTTGTCTATTCAAATATTATGTCCCCAGGTGGATTCGTCTGCATATCTGGCAACCTGAGTCAGGGAAAGTAGGAGAGGCTGCAGTACCTCTTTTGGCCAGATTTGTACATATTACCCCTTGGAGTTCCCTTGTGCATGAGAACTGTGCTATAAAAATAATCTCGCCTTGTCTTGTTATACCAAATTACGCCCCTCCCTCTGGTGGTAGCACAGGGAGTTACAGGCAGGATGCATTTTTTACCCTTCCTACTTGAATGTTCTGCTTTAGATCACATTCCACATTATAAAACAAGTACAAGTAAAGTTTTATTATCGATCTGAAAAACCTAAAAAAGCCATAATATTTCTTCTCAAAAGTCAAGTATTTTAAACAGTTCCAAACCCAGTCTTTTCACTCATCGTAAACGCCATCAGTGTCCAGAATGTTTCGTGGCACATTTGAGTAAAACAAACCAGAACCTGGTGGAAAGAGAAGAGCACTTGTGGTGTTATTCCTGCAAAAAAAAAAAACTTCTCTAAAAATATCCAGTTTCCGATTTCTTCTGCCGGTCTTTAGAAGCGCGGTGACAAAGGAGAATATGTGATTCCATTATAAGTCTGACAGACCCTCTGCGTGTTCATTTAGCTCCATTGTGTAGTAATCCAGCGGACGTCTGAGAACAGAAGGAAACATTAAAGAAATCAAACGCCAAAGGATCTCATCTGAAAACTGAATTTGAAAGAGGCTTATTACCGTTTCTTATAGAAATATGTAAAGAGAGCCACTCCGAGTCCAAGAAGGAGGAAAACCACAATAACCAGGCCGATCTGCAGCCCCAGAGCGGACGCTGCCAACACATCATCATATATTGATTAGTTACTAGTAATTTGTTGAGTAATTTGGCTTTTATCTTTGATACAGGCTAAAACTGGGTAATATAAGTGAAATTCAGCAAAACCAAACGCTTACTGATGCAACTGAACTGTATAAATTGTTCTTTTTTGGGTGTGTTCACAGTAAAGATAACTCAAAAACTAAATTCACTCTCAGGGGTTTGGAAATAAAGATTTAAAACACAGACATATCAAAGAGATAGTGTGAATAAAATCAAAAGGAAAGATTGACAAATACATTTTTGGCAAAATTTTAGACAGCCTCTGATTGTTGAAAAATCAATACAAATTTAAATGACCCTTGAAAAATGTGTAACGGACGTGATTGTTTCTGTCAATTTTTTTTCTAAAAATTAAACTTGAGAAAAAAAAGATGGCCTGGTTTCACATTTAATTGGTTTACAATATGAAAGTATCACTTTGTTTCTACTCTGTGTAAAATAAAAAAGAAACTATTCATCAAATGTGGATCTGAAAATATGTTACAAACCTCTGCAGCTCGTTTCGTTAAAGGATCACAGCCGTTACATAAAATAAACAGAGCCGCTACAGGAAACTTAAAAAAGAGAAGGGATTTGGAAACGTGAAAAACACTATTATCTTCTTATTATTGAAATCTAATTTTTTGCCTTTTTCCACACTTTTGTACCCCTTTGTTTGAAGAAGCCCAAATGTTACAGTAATACAGTATTCATGGTTTTGCACGGACCCAGAGCAGAGAGGATTCATGATCCGAACCGAGCAGATGAAGCAGAAATCCACTGGAGGAATGATTATTATTTAGAAAAAAGCAAATAAAGCATTCAGCTTTTTCAGTCTGGACCAAAGCTCCACCTCTGCTGCTGAGCCCTAAAGTAATAAGAATTTTAATACTATTGTTAGCTACTTTTAGAATTATGTATTTATTTGTTTTGTTTGTATGGATGTCTATCTATCTAATCATTGTGTTGCTATGGTAACCAGCACTTGCTTCAAGTCGAGATCCTTTCATAAACTTGTTAATGACATAGAAATAAATTACATAGAAACAGAAAAAGACTAAACATGTACATAAGGGGAGTAATTACACTTCCAGAATTAAAAGCCTTCAAATGGACTGCTCTGGGAGTGGTGTGTGGTGTGCACCTGTGCCGGTGAAGCGGTCGGTGGTGGGAGCGGAGCAGGCGTCCCCCCGTGAGCGTGAGGTGTTCAGGTGTGACGTCTGGATGATGAGTGCCTTCTGGTGGTCAGACAGAGCCTGGATGTTCCCCCACACACGCAGCCAGCCAGACACACACGAGAAGTTTGCCCCTAAAATCAAAGTATCAATGTTTCATGAATGATTCTTATTCTACATCCAGAGAATGCCAAGAGTGAAGCAGTAATCAGAGCAAAAGGTGCTTCTTTGAAGAAACTAGAATTTAAGACAATTGTTTCTTACTTTTTTTTTAGTACGTACATAATTCCACATGAGTTCATTCATAGTTTTGAGGCCTTCAGTCAGTGTGAATCTACAACTTTCTATAATCATGAAAATAAAAAACTCTTTCTATGCGAGGATGTGTCCAAACCTTTGGTCTGTACTGTACATACACACATATACACACAGACAGTACATGCAGTACACAAATACAGTACATACACACACACACACACACACACACACACACACAATACATACATACCATACATACAATACATACACACACACACACACAAATCATACATACACACATACAGTACATACATATCATACATACCATACATACATACTGTACATACATACATACATACCATACATACATACTGTACATACATACCATACATACATACTGTACATACATACATACCATACATACATACTGTACATACATACATACATACATACTGTACATACATACATACCATACATACATACTGTACATACATACATACATACATACATACCATACATACATACTGTACATACATACATACATACATACATACTGTACATACATACATACCATACATACATACTGTACATACATACATACATACATACTGTACATACATACATACATACTGTACATACATACATACATACATACTGTACATACATACTGTACATACATACATACATACTGTACATACATACATACATACATACTGTACATACATACATACTGTACATACATACATACATACATACTGTACATACATACATACATACTGTACATACATACATACATACATACATACCATACATACATACTGCACATACATGCATACATACTGTACATACATACATACATACATACTGTACATACATACATACATACATACATACATACTGTACATACATACATACAAACATACATACATACATACGTACATACATACGTACATGCGTACATACATACATACATACTGTACATACATACATACATACTGTACATACTGTACGCACATACATACATACATACTGTACGTACATACATGCATACATACATACATACATACATACTTACATACATACTGTACATACATACATACATACTGTACGTACATACATACATACATACATACTGTACGTACATACATACATACATGTGTCTTGACTCAGTTACCTCACTCAACACAGTAATGTGTAACTTGGTCGTGTATAGTGCTAAACACTGGTGTCAGGACTTATTATTTTGGGACACAGTTTAATCGACATGAAGACTTTCTTTCGAGGAATCAACTTTTCATTTTGAGAAAGTGACGCACTTTTGCAGGTTTTCCACAAGGTTTTTCAGTTTGTACTAATTGTTCTGAGAAATGCACGAACTGTTGTGAAAATGTGAAGAATGATGTGAGAAATGCACCAAAGTGACTTGTGCAAAGAAAAGAAAAAAAAAGTGTAAAGTTGAGGTACACAACTTTACTTTTTCTTTACAATATGTTTGGCTCGACAGAAAGAGTCTTGTAACAGGAACAGTCTTGTGCAAATAAGCCCTGTGTGTGATAATATGAAGACAGGAAGTACTTTACCACAGGTACAAACAGAGCTGAATTGAGAGAAAATCTAAAAGTAGAAGGTGAGGTCACAGAGCTTTGGTGCTTTAGGCTGAATGTGACAGACACCACAAACACATGTTTCAGAACTCGATTTGAATAGTAGTTAAAGTCTTGCGGTCAGAAAGTTAGGTACCTCAGCTTTCATACACAGTACAAATACTGAGATAAAGGTTTGTACCTTGAAGATATAAAGCAGATATTCCACAGTGGCACTTTTGCTCAAGGTAATCTGCCACTTCAGCAATTCTCTTTCCCTGGAGAAGGTTGCTGCAGTCTGCAGGAAACAAACCCATTCATTAGATTTCCAAAGTGTGACGTGAAAAAGACAAAAAGGTAGAACCCTGAAATATCACAAGAGATAAAGGATGACAAACACCATTAACAGAAGTGAATATGAGAAAAGTATGTTATGAAAGTCTCCTGGATCCAGGACGGTCAGACCCTGATGAACACATGAATGCACATGATAGCATGAACACACGTGTCAGGGCTCACCCCCAGAGTAGCCGTGGCCGTCTGTGGCCGTGGGGCTCAGGCAGATGTCGATGTGGCTGGAGAAGCTGGAGCTGGGGCAGAGGTTGTTCTGGTGGGGGGTGGGGGAGGAACTGGTCCAGGAGGAAGAGCTCCTCACGTCACAGCAGGAGCAGCGGCTCAAGGAAACTGGGCCATCTTCTACAGACCTGACGTGTTCGTGTTGGAAGCAAATGAAAGACATTTAGGAATTCTTCAAGCGTTCTTTGCTGCTGTATTTATGATGTTTGTTTGTTCATTTCCATCTGTCGGACTCTTTCACCCTGAACTACTCTACATCTTTTTAGTGGTAAAGGATCCTACACAGACACAGAGAGAACATGCAAACTCCCCACAGAATGCTAACCCTAACCAGATCTGGAAGTGGAATGAAATCTAGGACCTTCTTGCTGTATTCACTCAGGTGTGCGATTAAAGTCTACACAGGGGTCTACTTACTGCCAGTCACCAGCTGACAGTAAATGTTTCTATGAATAGGTTGCTATGGTTTCATACCTTTTATATTTGTGCAAATGAAATGCGCTTGGTGTTTGTAAGATGGGTTGTTGATTTACCGCAGAGCTGGAGTAACATGTCTCCCTCTGGTGGCTGAAACAAAGGACAGCAGCTCCTTCCTCTCACTGAACACCAGCGCATCTCTGAGGCTGGAGTTGGTGAGCGCGGTGCCAGCTCTGCACACACTGAACAGGTCATAGCACAGAACCACTGCTCCACGACTGGGAACAGAGGAGCTCTCTGGAAAGGTCTGATCTATGCAGGACAACAACAACAACACAACACAGAGATTGGTGAATAGACAAATCCCAAAATCATGGAACTTTGGAGGAAAAATAATCTATCACCTGCTCCGGTTACATTTCCAACAATATAAAATCCATCTTGATCAATAAAACCGGTCAGAGGAAGAGCCATGACAGTCCCACTGTGCTCCTGGTCAAAGACGGACAGCACCAGGCCCAAAAGAGATGTCATCGGAGGTCCCATAAACTCCACAAATCCTCTCTGCTGGCTGTGGTTGGTCCAGTGTCTACTGGACACCTCACTGATGACCACGCCCTCAGGAGGGGGAGGGGGGCGAGGGCAACTATTCTCACGGAGCGGAGTGGGAGGAGCCACCTGTGATAATGAAGCCGTTAACTCTTGTTGTTTGTTTTCTGAATATAAATCAGATGTGAATTGTTTGATTTTTATACATATGCGTCATAGTAAAACAATGACATAGTAATGTTTATCTATTCAGCGCATGTTTAAAGACCAAGGTCACCCGTACAGATTTACAATGTTCAGATACTGTTCCATTCTCTCCACACAGTGATGACGGAAGCCAGACGGCGAACACACTGGAGCATCAAAGGCCCCTACACCATTCACTCACTCATTACATTCAGAACTATTGTCCATGTGTTCAGAGGAAACCTACGCAGATGTTCTGATGAGTTCTTAACAGATCCATAGGTCGACAAGTTCAAATCAAATGTATGAGTTTGCAATATTGTGGTAACAATTAGGAATTGCTGAATAACCATGTAAACAAAAGCAACGTTGTTGGTGATTCCATACGTCTCATTATGGGAAACCAGATCATGGGAAACAGTTTGGTTTCCCATAATCCACTGCTCTCTGCTCTGTGATGTTATTCAGTACAGTCCCCAAACACATACATACACATTGTGTCCATGTGGACTTGAAAGGCCTTAATACTCACAGAAAAGGCAGACAGGTCAAAGGGGTAGAGGCCCCGGCAGCGGCTGAGGGCCTCATCTCCTTGTAGTACCTCAGGGTCCTCCAGTAGAGGGAGCTGTCCTGGAGTCAGGGCTTTGCTCAGGTCTCGAGTCCCCATGTCGGAGCCTCTCTGTCTGTACACCACAGCATCCAGCAGGCCTTTGGTGGGAATGCCCCTTTGAGCTGCGGACGGGGGCCCGAAGGGGCTGCGATACAGGGCCACGGCGTCTGGTCCGTTCTGGATGGTGTTTGGAGGAAGACGCAGCGATGGAGCCGGCACCAGTCGGTCACTGCCCAACAGGAAGTATCCTTTGGAGGTGGTGAAGTGTCCACTCAGGCTGATCTCTCTGTAGGGTTTGCTGATGTTATCACTGAACAGAAGTATCCAGATGCCCTGCAGGGACACGCGGCGGGAGGAAGGGTGCCACAGCTCGATGTACTCGCCGTCCTCTGCTGCACCAGGTGTGTCGGTGTTCAGCTCGTTAATGAGGAAGTCACTGTTGCCCCACGGCGGCAGGTGTGGGGCCGCGTCGGTGCCACTGGGGTTCACTGAAGCACACAGCACAAGTTAAAGGTCACTCTCCAAATGTGCAGCCACAGAAATAGTACAGGCCAGAAGAAGCCAACATCAAATCTGTGACAAGTCAGATTCAGATTCAGAGAACTCCAACCATCTCAGAGGGAAATTCATTTGCTACATTTCCCAGAGCAGTTCCCTCACAGGCTACAAACAGACACAGTGAGGGCCCCGTTCACGGTGTGTCTACAAACACTTCATTAAAGTAAAGATTTGAGTTCGTCTCTCTTATAATAGCATGCTTTAGAGTAGCATGCTTGTCAGGCTCTCATTCAAAATACACTCTCTTATAATCACTATGACAGCATGTGTGGCTGTTTGAAGCCACATAAAGATTTATTCCTGTGAGCATGGCCTTGGAGTTCTAGACAGAGATCAAGGAATCGTCATGTATTATACGTCTATAGGTCTATGTGCGGCTATGCTTTCAGTCTTACCTAAGCTATGTGGACAGATCTTCGGCCAGGGACACTGGTTCAGCTGCCCAGGTGTTTGAGGAGCTTCCCAAAAAACACCAGGATCTCGGGCCCAGGTCGCAACTCCACAGCGACTGATGTGGAAGCCGCTTTCTCGCAGGCTGAGAACAGAGAAAACATGTCACTAATCTGTGCTTTACATTTTGGATAATATATAGTGTTCTAACTACGTCCCAACAGGAGGAGGAGACCCGGGGGACACACTGGAAGGTCTGCACCCCAGATGAGTGTGAGTGGGGTGCGTGGTGCATGAAGTGTGGCTGTCTCTGCTCAGACAGCTGCGCAGGTGACCGGATAAAACAGAAAGAAATGGATGATGGATAAACGCCCATTTAATTAGCATTCAAAATGTTGTCTTATTTTCCACATGTTAGTTGTCTCAGCAAAGGTATTTGGTTCCTCTATTCCAGACAATAGTATCACAGAAGTGAACGTTGAGGTAATAACACCGCAAACTTACTATTGTCTGGTACAGAAGAAGCAAATATCTTTATTTCCTCTTAGAAGACAAGATAAACCTCGGTAAACGATTGTGTGCAGAAACCTAGTCTTTATTTTGGTGTAATCTCTGATCCCCTCTTCACCCTCTGTGCTCGACTCGCACTAACAGAGGAGTACGCATCATTTTTAAGATGATGCTGAATATTATCTCGTGAAATATCGACTGAACACAAGAGCGTGTCGACCTCTCGGCACGGTGACTCAATGCACACGTTCAAAATGTTAAACTCTGACAATTTTTGATCTTTTGACTCAGAATGAAGAGTTGTCTGTTGCTATCTCCTCAAATGGGCCGTTAGTTCATTTGTTGGTCATAATGTTCTAAATATTCTAAATATTTATTGCAAATAAATCATTTACCATTATTATTATAGTTGAGGTTTAACCTACGATAAAAGCCATCTCTCATCTTTTTAAGTGCGAGGACTTGGAAGACTGTTTAGAATTTAACTTAGACTTTAATGATCCACAAGGGAAATTGCGTTGTCACAGGAACTTGCATAGTATCTCACAATAAAAAATAAAAAATAACGTTAAAGTAACAATCTAAAAATAAGAATAATACTAAGATAATATTATAAAGTTATATGGCTGCACCTGCAGAGTACGCTAATATTTATTTTCACAATACTAATTTTCCATCCATCAATTTTCTTTCGTTTTGCCGGGTCACAGGGGCAGCAGCCCAGGCAGAGAATCCCATACGTCCACACCCACTTCCTCCACTTCACCCGAGGGAATCCCGGAGAGTTACCAGGTGTTCCTGGGTCTTCCCCTGGTCTCCTATCGGCGGGACATGCTCAGGACCAACTGCCTCCTCTCCATGTGACTGAGCTCCTCATCCTATCTCTGAGTGAGCGCCCAGCCACTCAGCGGAGGAAGCTCATGTGGAGCTTGTATCCGTGATCTTGTCCTTTCGGTCATTACCCAAAGCTCATGGCCAGAGGTGAGGGAGGGAACGTAGTTCGACCGGTAAACCGAGATCTTTGCCTTTTGGCTCAGCTCCCTCTTTAGTATAACAGCCTGACACAGCTCTGACTGCAGACGCTGCTCCCTCTTCACCATAACAGTCTGACACAGCTCTGACTGCAGACGCTGTTCCCTCTTTACTATAACAGCCTGACGCAGCTCTGACTGCAGACGCTGTTCCCTCTTTACTATAACAGCCTGACGCAGCTCTGACTGAAGACGCTGCTCCCTCTTCACCATAACAGTCTGACACAGCTCTGACTGCAGACGCTGCTCCCTCTTCACCATAACAGTCTGACACAGCTCTGACTGCAAACGCTGCTCCCTCTTCACCATAACAGTCTGATACAGCTCTGACTGCAGACGCTGCTCCCTCGTCAACACAATAGTACGATACTGGCAGTGTAAATATGTCTTGCCTGTTGCTGAGTTGATAAGGCTGTCTGCCCGGCACCAGCGTCTCTGTGAGGTTGGAGCTTGGCCTGTTTCCAGGTCCGGCAAAAACAAATGCGTCCAGTGGCTGTATCTGACTCAGCGCACTGCCCACTGGGAAGTCCAGGACCGCGCCGCTGTACACTGCCACAGCTCCAGACTGGTCTCCTAAAAGGCAGAAAATATTTAAAAAGAACATTTGGCAGGGGAACAAACACAAATCTCCTCCTCACCTTTCATGTACTTCTTGTCTATTGTGAAGGAGACCAGTCCATTTGTGTTGTGCATGTCCAGAGACATACTCAGGCTCACTCGGTCGGTCCTCCCATCCAACACCACCAGCACCAAAGGCCCAGCTCTTGGGGCGGCGGTCATCTCCACAAAGCCCTCCACCTGCCCACCGCCCAGCCTCAGTTCATTGATAAGAGGTTTGGTGGAAGGAGACATGGGAGGGGTACAGTTATTCCTCTGCCCTGGAGACGGGAGAGAGATCTGAAATCCCCAGCGATCCTCCGACATCAGACACCTCTCGATAGACTCATCCCCGTCGTGGGCGGTGTCGTCTTCTACAAAAGCCGGTTCTCCAGGGGTCAGTGTTTCAGCCAGGTACTCCGCCCCTCCGGACCTCCTGCTCATGTAGACCACCGCGTCCACCAGCCCCACTGACGTCACGTTCATCTTCTCGCTGTATCGAGCCGCGCTGGAGTGGTAGATCGCGATGGCGTCCGGGCCGTTCTGCACCGTGTTGGGAGGAAGCAGGATGGCGGGTTTAGGCAGCATGTCCACAGAGCCGACCAGGAAGAAGCCTCTGTCGTCTGTGCTGTAGCCCTTCAGGTCCAGCACTTTGTAGGCGATATTCCCATTTCCGTTGTAAAAAACCAGCGAGTATCCGTCTAAAGAAGCCCTCTGTCCGCTGGTGTGGTACAGTTCCACAAACTCAGTTGTATCGAGTCTGGGATTGTCTGCGTTGATCTCACTAATGATGAGGCACGGGTCCCCAGTGACGGCCCCCAGGAGGCAGAGGAAGGCCCCCAAGACAAGGGTTACCTCCATCCTGTTCAGCTCCTACCAGAAAGTAAAATGACATTATTATAAACAAAAGAAGCTAAATGATGTTAATGATGCTGCTGATAAAGCTGGCATTAGGTTTACAGTTTAGCAAGACGCTAGCTGCATGTGAAAGCCTGATCTTGGTGGACCTGAGCTAAAACATTTGGAAATGTCCTAATGACTCTCAGTGTAATTACAGCTGCTCTCTAAGGTCATCAGGGCTGGGTCACTAAACAGAATCATGAAGTCTGTGGAGCAAGTCAGTCAACTCTGCAGCTGAGCTCTTGGAATCAGGATCAAATATTGCAAGAAGAAAGTCTAAGCAAAAACAAAGTCCAAAGAGACATTTTTGACCAAATTCATGGCAGAATAATCCTAATCTGTATTGTCCCATCCCTAGGGTCAAATACTGTGGGGAAGCGTCATGCTATGGCGCTGTAAACCTGTAAACACATTTGTAGATACTTCTGTTATACACTGTAGAACTAGAATATTTAAGTAATAAGTCATTAGCTCTGTGGGTTCAAATAGGACAACATGAGCCAATAGTTACGTAAATAAATACTAAATAAGCAATGAAGGGCCTGGTTAAACTGTGATGGGATACCTCTGGAAACACCAGGTCTCAGAGTGGGGATGGCTGTGGCTGTAAAGTGCTGAACTGTCATTGTGTCCTTAGGCAAGGCCCATCACCCATGTCTGCTATGTGCCTCAGTGATTTGTGGTGTTCGGAGGGGCCAATGGCATAAACTCGTTGCCTTGCTTTCTGTCAGTCTGCCCCAGGGCCGCTGTGGCTGTAATAGCTTATCACCACCAGGAGCATGTCTTGAAAAATGTACAATAAATACATCATTAGTATTGTTATTAAGTATTTATTTACAGGTTTACAGCGCCATAGCATGACACTTCCCCGCAGTATTTGACCCTAGGGATGGGACACTACAGATTAGGATTATTCTGCCATGAATTTGGTCAAAAATAGCTCTTTGGGCTTTGTTTTTGCTCAGACTTTCTTCTTGCAATATTTGATTCTGATTCCAAGAGCTCAGCTGCAGAGTTGACTGACTTGCTCCACAGACTTCATGATTCTGTTTAGTGACTCAGCCCTGATGACCTCAGAGAGCAGCTGTAATTACACTGAGAGTCATTAGGACATTTCCAAAGGTTTTAGCTCAGAAAAGACCACACACTGTATTACATTTCAACACAATTATGTGTCATTTTGCTTTGCATTTGTACTGTTGAAAACCACTGGATTCTGAGAGGGCTGCTTTCTGAATGTACAACTTGTGGATGGATGACTTTGAGACCATCAACCAAACCATTTGAACTTGAGAAAAAAACATAAAATTACTGATTTATTCCTGTTAATAAATTACACAATTACTATTTCATATTGTGCAGAAAGCTTTAGTGCAGAAACCCTTCTTCTCCCCGCCACCGCCTCATCGGCCAGACCAGCTCCCACTACCAGGGTCTGGGCTCATTACCCCTTCTGCATTCGTCTACCAGGGTCAATAACCACATTTCATGGACAGTAAAGGTCATTCTTGCATTAAATGTCTGCAGAGTCTTATGTGCTCATTTATGTCGATCGGCCTAAATCACAACAACAGTTAACAGATTACTATGGCAACCAAAAAACACTATTCTAAGTAAGTAATCTATATTTATATACCACCTTTCAGAGACCAGAGTCACAAAGCAGTATTCAATTGTGGGCATGTGTCTGTCACTCCACAGAGATGGGAGGCGCATGCCAGAGCTATTTTACAGATTTTAAGTGGTAGGGGAAACCGGAGTACCCGGAGGAAACCTACGCAGGCACAGGGAGAACATCCAAACTCCACTCAGAAAGGCCCTGTGCCGACCGGGATTCGAACCCAGGACATTCTTGAGAAGCGAGAGTGTTATCCACCGTGCCGCACAATTTCAATTTTAATCATCCCTTTTTTGTTTGTTTGAGGTTCTCCAACACAATCCAACAGAAGTGGAGTTAAACAATTCTTTGGGAAAAACATTATCCATTTTTATGCCACAGAAGTAGATTATCTTCCAGGGCAAATATGTGTCAAGTTGGAGCAGATGCAAACACACCTTGATTTGTTTGTTTTCACTTCTCTCTGGCAGCCTTCTTGTAATGACACACATCACTGCAAAACAAATGCATTTCTAAACCATTACTAAACGTTTCCAGGACTTCAGTCTTCATCCTCTCCATGAGTATTCAGAATAGTAGCCTGATGTAGCCATGTCAGTAATGTTAATGTGGCCCCAAAGCCCGCCCTGAGCCCAGAGCCAGACCAGTCATCATGAATGGGGCATTTTTTGTCACTGGCAGTGGAGGCACGTCCCCTGCATGACTCATGTGAGATACTGTTGCGAAATGCTCCAAAAACAGATGGAAACTTTGCAATAGAGTGAAGAGGTTTTACTGGAAGCGTGCACGGACAAAGTAGTGGGGGGTATGCATACAGCCACATGTGTACCATTAAGATTTAACGCACATAACACATCAATGTCCTCTTCTGTTATAGTCTATGCCAATGTTAAAAAACTCAAAGAAAGCTCACACGCACTATATATCACGCACTATACATTATATGAGCAGGAGGTTGTGTTAGATAAGGCTTGAAACACGGCCACTCGTATTCCCTCTATTCCGGTCACGGTTCGCCTGCAAAACGTGCGTCTTTCCACCCCGAAAAGAAAAAGCAGTCTGTCCTCTGGCCCCATACACACACACAAACAAACACGTGCACACACACACACACACACACGCATACACAAGCACAGATGACAACAGTATAACACACGCACATAAACACACACACAATATACAGTACACACGCACACATACATGCACACACGCATAACATGCACACGCGCGCGCCTGACTTACCGCGCGCTCTGGCCGCTTCTGCCGCTCGGCCCGGATGCACTGACTTGAGCGTGGACGCGACCGCAGCCTCAGCAGAACATTTGTGAGGTGAAAACTGTTCCCTGCGCCGCTCCCTTCATTCACAAAGCAGCACTTTCTTTCTCCCCCCGGACGGTGGGCGGGCGGACTGACTGAGGGGGTGATGCCAACCGGGGGGAAGCGCTTTTTTTTTTTTTTTTTTTCTCACCAAACTCCATTCAGCTCTGAGCAGCTGAGCCAAAACACAAGAGGCGCAGCGACGTCAGATTTACGGCTTCAAAGTGAGCGCTGGAGTGGGCTGTTATAGAAGTGTGAAGATGCCAGAGTTAATGCTATTGTCTGAGGAAGAGTGTGTTTCTGTTCAATAAACCACTGGCCCCGTTTAAAGCACGCTGAGGTTTAAGGATCAGGAGCCTTGGAAAAAGCTTGGAGCCCTAACTTTCCAAAACACATACGGAGAAACAGTGTAACAGCATAAAAACACAAACATACGCACACACACACACACACACATAACAGTATGACATAGACACACACACACACACACACACACACTAAAAATAAAAACAGTACAACACAGACACACACACACAGATAAAAACAGCACAACACAGACACACACACACAGATAAAAACACCACAACACAGACACACACACACGGATAAAAACAGCACAACACAGACACATACACACACAGATAAAACAGTACAACACAGACACACACGCACACATAAAAACAGTACAACACAGACACACACACACACATAAAAACAGTACAACACAGACACACACACACACAGATAAAACAGTACAACACAGACACACACGCACACATAAAAACAGTACAACACAGACACACACACACACAGATAAAAACAGTACAACACAGACACACACAGATAAAACAGTACAACACAGACACACACACACACACAGATAAAAACAGTACAACACAGACACGCACACAGAGATAAAAACAGTACAACACAGACACACACACAGATAAAAACAGTATAACACACAGACACACACACACAGATAAAAACAGTACAACACAGACACACACACACAGATAAAAACAGCACAACACAGACGCACACACACAGATAAAAACAGTACAACACAGACACACACACACAGATAAAAACAGTATAACACAGACACACACACACAGATAAAACAGTACAACACAGACACACACAGATAAAACAGTACAACACAGACACACACACACACACACAGATAAAAACAGCACAACACAGACACACACACACACAGATAAAACAGTACAACACAGACACACACACACACAGATAAAACAGTACAACACAGACACACACACACAGATAAAAACAGCACAACACAGACACACACACACACAGATAAAACAGTACAACACAGACACACACACACAGATAAAACAGTACAACACAGACACACACACACACAGAGATAAAACAGTACAACACAGACACACACACACAGATAAAAACAGTACAACACAGACACACAGATAAAAACAGTACAACACAGACACACACACACAGATAAAACAGTACAACACAGACACACACACAGATAAAAACAGTACAACACAGACACACACACACAGATAAAAACAGTACAACACAGACACACACAGATAAAACAGTACAACACAGACACACACACAGATAAAACAGTACAACACAGACACACACACAGATAAAAACAGTACAACACAGACACACACACAGATAAAAACAGTATAACACACAGACACACACACACAGATAAAAACAGTACAACACAGACACACACACACAGATAAAAACAGCACAACACAGACGCACACACACAGATAAAAACAGTACAACACAGACACACACACACAGATAAAAACAGTATAACACAGACACACACACACAGATAAAACAGTACAACACAGACACACACAGATAAAACAGTACAACACAGACACACACACACACACACACAGATAAAAACAGCACAACACAGACACACACACACACAGATAAAACAGTACAACACAGACACACACACACACAGATAAAACAGTACAACACAGACACACACACACAGATAAAAACAGCACAACACAGACACACACACACACAGATAAAACAGTACAACACAGACACACACACACACACAGATAAAACAGTACAACACAGACACACACACACACACACACACAGATAAAACAGTACAACACAGACACACACACACAGATAAAAACAGTACAACACAGACACACACACAGATAAAAACAGTACAACACAGACACACACACACAGATAAAAACAGTACAACACAGACACACACACACAGATAAAAACAGTATAACACAGACACACACACACACAGATAAAACAGTACAACACAGACACACACAGATAAAACAGTACAACACAGACACACACACACACACACACAGATAAAAACAGCACAACACAGACACACACACACACAGATAAAACAGTACAACACAGACACACACACACACAGATAAAACAGTACAACACAGACACACACACACAGATAAAAACAGCACAACACAGACACACACACACAGATAAAAACAGTACAACACAGACACACACACAGATAAAAACAGTACAACACAGACACACACACACAGATAAAAACAGTACAACACAGACACACACACACAGATAAAAACAGTACAACACAGACACACACACAGATAAAAACAGTACAACACAGACACACACACAGATAAAAACAGTACAACACAGACACACATACACAGATAAAAACAGTACAACACAGACACACACGCACAGATAAAAACAGTACAACACAGACACACACACACACACAGATAAAAACAGTACAACACAGACACACACGCACAGATAAAAACAGTACAACACAGACACACACACACACAGATAAAAACAGTACAACACAGACACACACACACACACAGATAAAAACAGTACAACACAGACACACACGCACAGATAAAAACAGTACAACACAGACAGACAGATAATAATGTTAAGATTAGGAGATCCCATATTCGTCCCACTGCGGGGACATTTCAGTGTTCCATCACAAGTTATACAACAGTAGGAAAGAGGAGCACACGGCACAAGATAAGTGAACATAAAGATCTGCAGTAATACAGATTTGACGGAGGTCCACAGAACAAGATATGCAGGTCAGATTCCACATCATGTTGAGAAAAGTGTGAATAATCTTTTCCCCTCTTCAGTCACTCAAGGTCCAAACGTCAGAGATGATTCCACTTTGGCAGAGTCTTGGGATGTAACACACACACGTTTAGAGTTTCACCCTTAACCTCAAATGGTCCCATCGTCATGTTTAGATCCATGTGACTGTGACTCTTCTCTCCTCCCCCCCCTGTGTGAGGAGATGATCATCAGGCAGACTGTTGTGACCAGACTGTTTCCTCTGATACAGTGCAGCAGGTGGGGCACAGGAGGGTCTGGGACAAACTGACATCTATGTGGACTATGACTGTCTATTGCCCCCTGCAGGACACTCTGTCTGCTCTGGAGAGTATAGCTTCAGTGACAGACTTATCCACCCTCGCTGTGTGAAGGAGAGGTTCCGCAGGTCTGTCCTTCCTGCTGCTGTCAGACTGTACAACGAACAATGAGGACTAACGAACACTGTCGACCTCACCTCACATATCTGTGCAATATCTTAAAACAATGTCAGAATGTGAAATATAGAACCACAAGAGTCACTGTCACATTCTGCCAACATATACACATGTAAACATACGACTATATATATATTTCTGCTCTAGAATATACAGGATTTATATTTGCTTCTTTGTTAAGCGGAAGTCAGAGATGTTGAACTTAATTCTTGCTTCTTATTATAGATCATAGACAGCTTCCTTATTACGCTAAAGCTAGTGAATTTATTTTAGTAGAGAGTTTAGTAGAGAGTTGTTGTGACACAGATTGGCCGTGAGCGGGTTGGAGTGCAGTTAAAAGCAGTTAAAAACACAAACAGGTCGACGTGGTCCACATATGTTCACTTATTTTTTTTGGCTTTTCAATAAAAAATACAAACAAAGGGGGAAACAGGCAATAAAGTGCCATCAGTGCTTCTTCTCCACCAGCAGAGCCCAGACTGATGTTGCCCATGTCCTTTAATCTTTCATTTCATTTATTTCAAACCTGCACACCCCCCACACACTCTACTTGCAGACAAACCATTTTCACAATTGATTGCAACACAAGACATTGAACATTCAACACAACACACACACACACACACACAGGCCCAATACTCACCGACCCCACACCCTTCTCCTACTACCACAATTAAATAAAAGGTATCGTGTTCTCTCATTCACGTACTTTTCCATCACAAAGCTTTTAATATATCGTTCGAACTGTGTCAAATTTAAACAGTTTTTCAGGTCCTCAGTGAATCCGTTCCACAAACTCAGTCCTCTCACAGAAACACACACAGACTTAAGTGTTGTTCTGACTCGTGGATGGTGTAATCTATGGACTCTTCTCAAACTCACTTGGAGCTGAGCGTCTCAATCACAAAAACATTTTTGGATATTTGCTCGAAGAGAGTGTTTTGATGCCTTGAACATAACTTGTGCAGTTTTATAATTGACCAAGTCCTCTGATTTTAATTCACTGTTCTTAAGAAAAAGCTGTTTGTGTGTTCATTCTGAGGGACTTTGTGAACGATCCTAACTGCTCTTTTCTGGAGTGTTGTCAACGGCAAGAGGTTTGTTTTATAACAGTTTCCCCAAACTTAAATACAATAATTAAAATGTGACATCACAAGTGAGTGATACAATATTCGCAGTGCTTTTACATTTAGAACATAACTACATTTCTGAATGACACCAACACACCTGGCAACTTTTGAACGTAAATAACTAAAAAGGGGTTTCCAGGCAATCTTTTTGTCCTGCATCACCCCCAAAAACAAATTTTGCTGGACCCTTTCGATTTGAACACCATCAATAAATATGTCCACAGAATATACAGTACTTATAAAGCAGTTACAGTTATTGTTGATTTATCTTGTGCTGTGTGCTTCCTCATTCCTACTGTTCTATAACCGGTGATGCAACACTGAAATTTTCCCCCATGTGAGGATAAAAGGATCTGTTCATCTTAATCTGTTTTTTTGCTCGTACCTTAGTTTGTGTTGTTGGTAGTTCCTGGGTTCCTGTCCGCTCCTCTC